CATTTTTTCAGTGCCATTGATGGATCAAGGTGTTTTCAGCAAAGGAGACTGGTGGTACGTATATTGTTTGATACCCATTGTAGGTTATGGATATGGCTACTGCATTGGAGACCAGTTATTCTGATTTAATCATTGACAACCGAGAGGCTGCGCTTAATATTTTTGCTGAGCGACAGCTACCACTTTTTGCAGAGCCTTCTACGGCTGATATTACCCAGAATGTGTAACCTTACTTTTAGTAAAGTATGATTCTGTTAATAAGACTTGTATTTAGGGATAGAGGCCATGATCATGAGCCTAAGAAACTCAGATCTTGTGGCTGGATGGGACAGAATTTATTTGGACTACCTTGCCAAGGCAGTTTACCACGCTGAGAGCTTCAATGGAAACAGCTGTTATCCACAATGTTTGACAGAATCAGGGGAATCAACACTATTGAAAAAAATCATTAATGAGTGAAATTAAATCCTTCATGAAGCAATGCTTTGTAACCACTCTACTTCAAGGAACATGAAAGATTCTTCCTCGTGGTATTAAGCCTGTTAACTTTCAAATAATAACGTACATACAGCACAGTTGAAAAGGGACAGCATTAATTTGCTCAGAAATAACATGTCAAATATCTGGCTGCTATATGCAAGGCCTGTAGCCCACAAAGTTGACAGAGGGCGCTATAATTACAATCACATCATTCCTGTTCATTTATGACAAGTTTTACATGTAAGAATCATAGAAACAGACTAATAAGTGCAGGCATATTACTGATCAAATGAAAATTATGCTTAATAAGCCCAACTTAAAAATTAGCCTCACTAACAATAAGACCAACATAATTGGTAAAGGATAGTTCAGAATTTGCTAATCACACGATGGCGACACAATCCAGAAATATATCACAACTATGATAAAACACAATATTTTTTTTTTTAAATGTTTTTTGTGCCCGGCATTTTGCCACAGAAACCGTATTCATGCCTTGAGACTACGGTACACACAACAGGGCTGCGCGGCTATCTATCAAATTTAATGTGCTATCCTGGCAAGCACTTGCTGACCTTAACCAAGGTTCCCCCTAAGTTGCATTCGTCAGTGAATGAATCTCAACCAGTGGAATTGGCCTTCCCATCGAGTCTGTGGCCCACTCACCCAGGGTAGGGGTCAACCCTTTATGTGTTCAGCCTGAGGTAGGATTTGAACTTGGGTCATGAACTTGGATCACGAGTCTGATGCAACAGCCACGATGCTACCAGTGATTAGTTTACATTCAAACTTGTATTAAGGTAGCGAGAAGGTAAATTTCACTTTTTTCTTGATTTTTCAAAAATTGATAAAACGGTTACTTTAGACCTTGATACATCACCCCAGGTTTACAAAAGATCGAAAATTGCGAAATAACGTCGCTCAAATTAGTGTTTTAAAACACTAGCAGAAAAGACTGCAACTGGCGTTTCGTGGATATTTGCATAATGTTTATCTTTGGGAGGGATTAAATGATAACATCTTATCTGTATACTCTGTTGTTGACGATTCTGATATAACGGGTGATAAGCTTCCCGTCGCAAACAATGCGTGTTTATCTAACGTCTATTGTCAGCATTATTGTCAGTCGAGACTTCGTCGGAGAAACATGGTCATACAGTACTCATTTCGCCCAACCTTCCGCTTTTACATCGACCGCTTGTCGCTTAATTTCCGACCACGCGGTCTTGTCCGACCTGAAACCGACCGCATTTTAATCGCGTTTTGTTTTCGCTCGCTCGCTCGTTGAAAACATTGACCGCTCGCCCAAACACTGAAAACTGGCATATGGGTGGTCGAAATGGTGGTTTTGATAGTAAAGTGTGAACATACAACTAGTATTAACTATTATTAACATTCTGAACGACACTTCAAATCTAATAGCTGTATTACACTTGTATCGTGAA